GTCCTAGGTTCCCGGAGTTGTTTCACCCGGGTGTGACGTGGGAATATATCAGGTTTAAATCAATTATTTTAAGTGTATTAATCTAGACGCGTGGTTATTAAGCGTATTAATTAATAGACCACGTCCACACGACGGGACTGATCACGACAAGGCTGTTCCGCCCGTCACCTAATAAACATCGTAATTTGTAATAAGTAGTGATTTAATATAAGCTGAGCTTTTTCGCCCGCCACCTAGTAATTTAATTTAACACAATAAAATGTGTTCTGTAACCACTATAATTTATGGTTATGAATGAAGAGGAATAGGGCTGAGCTACTATCGGTTACGATGGACGTGAGCTGTTTCGCCCATCCCCTAACAATCAAATTTTAATAATAAAACTAAATAGAGTACGTTCTTTAACAATTATAACTTGTGGTTGTTAAAGACAGGTGTAGAGCTGAGCTACTATCGATGGACGTGAGCTGTTTCGCCCGTCCCCTAACAATCGAATTTTAATAATAAAACTATAGTAGAACCCTATCCGTCTACACCATGAAATAAATCTACTCTCAAGAAGACAACTAACAATACCCGTAAATAGTCTTGTTAAGAGTATGACCTATCTAACTGTTTAGCTCGAAACTATCGTGGCCCATAAATTCCAACAAAAAGGAATATTACAGCAAAAATAATAATAGTGAATTTAATTAATTATATTTAATACCCAGAGTACTTACAGTTGGTGATCTTCCAGAATAGGGACGACGTCCACGTTTATTTTACCCAATGGGTTTTTGTGAATGAGAGCGGGTTAACAGGGAGTAGCCAAGAGAGGGAAGTGACCAGCTGGCCAGCTACACGCCGGCCGATCGAGTCTCGGTTGATCCTAGGTCCTGGAGAACTCTCGCCCTACCCCTACCACTACGTCCTTAAGACGCTACTAGCGCGGCGGGTGGACACTGCCGGTAACATTTCCCGCTCTGATTTAAAATTTAATCGAGGTCCAATTTGGGACCTTACACAGTAATGTAATTCAATGATTACCGTAGCAAATGTCAAAACTTTCAATATTAAATAGTATTCATATTTAGAGCACATGATATCATAATATGAGATGGCGGCCGAAAAAAAGACATCCGTCATAACCAAGTGAAAATAGGTCGACAATGAATGGTGGTGTATACTTATCTTTATCTAGCACTATTTTGAGATTATGGTCTTAGTTTGTAAATGCACAATGTTAAAATGGGCTAAAAATAAAGTTATAAAAAGTCCTTATAACTTTAGAACGGATCAAGATTTTAAAAAACTAATTGTGGCATTGTAATCAGCGTAAAATTCTTGTTTGAAATAATGGGTCACAACCCTACCTTTACATTTGGAAAAAAACCTTTGTATCCAATATGGCGGATCCAAGATGGCGGCCAAAAATTTATACCCAGTCAAAATGAAGTACTTACTACTCTACAATGATCTGACGTAGTCCGGAGTTGATATCTTAAGAAATGTAGAAAAAGGTAGGGGGGGAACCATAGCCACCTCTGGGGAACTCATTTAAAAATCACCCTGTATAATACCACTCTGGCACTCTAATACGAGCTATGTCTGTTTGTCTGTCTGTCTGTTTATGTATGTGTCTGTCTGATATTGAGTTTGCGCTAACTACTGGACCGATTCAGCTGACATTTTGCAGAGAGGTACCGTACTTGATAGTCTTAAACACACAGATTTAGGTTGTGCAAATGAAAATCCCATACGGCTCTGCCCCACTGAGTTCAAAGTTTCCATGTTATTATTGAGATTCTTATTTAAATTTAATTTAAGCAGAATTTTGCCAAGTATTTAGTTACAAGGTTTACCAAAAGGTTGCAGCATTATTTATCTACTTTCTCCTCTATATACATAGTATTAGGAGAAAGTATTGTTTTTGTCACAATTTTCGAGTTTGAGTGGAAATATCAGTTTTGGGTCCCCCTGAACCCCAAAAAATTGGTTTTCAAAGTGATGCCTGTGTGTGTGGATGGGTACAGAGCTACATAACAAACATGTTGTCCGATTTTGATTAAATTTGGTATGTAGGCACTAGCCTAATTCATGGTATCTCCAGGCGTTTTTAAATTGTTTTGAAACTTTTATTTTTAAATGGAGATTTTCAAAAACTCATAAAATAACAGAAAATTAGGATTTTCTCTAAAATGGCCAGAACGATTTGATACAAATTTAGTATGTTATAGTCCTTTACCTTCTGAACATAATGGTATTTAAATTCCATTTCTGTAAAAATTAAGGTTAAAAAGTTATTGTAACTTATGTTATTTTTTCATAAAAAAACATAAAATGACAGAAAATTATATTTTTGAAAAAAGCTGGTTTTTACTAAAATTAGTATGATATGGTCCTTCATTCTGAAAAAATGGTAACGATACCATTTCTGTAAAAATTGTGGTTCAAAATCAAAAGTTATTGAAACTTAGGTTATTTTACCTTAAAACCCATAAAATAACAAAAATCGGATTTTAGGGATAAGCTGGTTTTGTGTTATGGACCTTTATAATTCCATGGTAGATCGTAGATGTTTGGCTATAGGGGGTTAAGCCCCCCCCCTTGGACCCTTCCTTGAAATATAAATTAAAACATACATTTCAAAATATAAATGCAACGGCAGGTGTTTGGACACATTTATAGACGTGGAAATGGCTTCGAAAATAGCTAATTTTTCAAGGAAAGGCCCCCAAACCCCTCCCTGGTTTAGGACACCCCCATTAACCCCCCCCCCTTGATATGGTCCTAGAACCGCCACAGGACCAAGCAACGTTTTATCTATATGGTTATACTATAGCATACCATAAATGAAAGAACCAAATTTTCTCAAACAGCTCCTCCCCCATCCCCCATTGCAAACGGAGAGCACAAGTATAACTGCAATAAGCATTTATGCCCCAACCTCATAGGAAGGACGGGTATTCTGCTATAGTAATAGATAGTTTTAAAATATCATGTTAAAAATGGACCAAATAAACTATTAAATAAAATGTATGAAATTACTTTGCAATTGTGGATGCAGGGAATAAACGATAATTTTTATTTATGTTAAACAAGCTTTAGTTATTTTGAGCAGGAATAGAATAGTCATTACTTTTTAAACTATTTGAAACCTAACTAAATTAATATGACACCACACAATGTTGAGAAACATTCAATTATAATACTTGAGATAACAAATAAAAGTGTGCTAAAACACAACAATGTTGCCCAAATTAAATTATCATTTTCTAGGTTAACACACTCATTTAGATAGCATAATTGAAAAATAAGTAACAATCATAATCACTTTATAATCAATTTGCTTGGATCGAATGTAACACTAAATACCCCCCGCCACAGCCAGCAAACCTGCAGACTAAGCGAATTTCCATTTCCCTGATTGGATTTACATTAAAATGTCTCCTTAAAAATATCACATTTATTCCCTATTTTAGCATTAGTTTAACAAGTACCTACTTAGGTTTGCTGCAACAAGGAAGGTAAAGAAGTGTTTTTTTTTATGTTAATAGTTAAGTATGAAATAAATTAATTTTCCAAATTTGTTCAAAGTATGTTCATGTACAAGCAAGTTACATCAGTTTACTTATTCTCCATAAGAATAACATAGGAATTTTATATTTACAATATTTTAGAATATTCTCCGTAACCATTAGGTGCATAGTAACGCTTCAATATACTAAATTATTTTTTTTATTTTAAGCTCTACAATATGGTTTGGAAAGAATTTCCTAAATGTTTTGTATTAAGGGTCAAAGATGGGAAAACCCAATTTTTACCCCATAAACACTTATTCCCGTAGTCCCATCATGATGGTTCGTGAACTAATTCGAACAAATGTAGGTTTACACGTTTATACCAAATTTCATCAAAATCTGATCATTTTTGCTCGAGTTATCGTGCTAACAGACACATATATAAATATAAATATACATATGAATTTGAACTGATTGTGATTTTGGCCTCTAGGGACCTCAAAACGAAAAATTAAATGGGTCCTGGGTCCAGGTCTTACCATGAGTACTATGGTAATAGCTTATTCCCTATATGGAAAATTGGCTAAAAGGGCAAAACATTTTACAAATTGAAATTTTACTTCATAGATGTATTTGTCAAAATTAATTTTTTACATGATAGCTTACTAAAGTTACGGTCCACGAGAGTCTGCAGTTGGCGGCAGCCAATAGCAAGTCTGGAATAGCACGACTTTGCAAGATTGCCCGTTCACTAATTTTTGTCAATAATTAAAATATACTAAACAATATTTTCAAATCAGCTGGTATTATTAGATTCGGCAACACCACGAGGTCCTCATTGGCTCCTTCAAAGTCTTGTGGAAAATAGGCTCCTGCCTCAACTGCAGACTCTCGTGGACCGTACTGTAAATAGTTTGTACCAACATTCAATAATACTTTGAATAGGTAGGTACTGAGAATGCAAATAGTTAGTTTAGGTACCTTTGAAGAGTAAAAGTTAAAAATAAAATATTGCAAAGTGCAAAGATTGTTTGATTACTGTATTTTTCAGAGTGGAGACCAATCATTACTTCTCAAAGCCCTACCCCAGAGGTTTTTGAATGTAGAAATTTGAGTAAATTTAATTTAGAGTCATGATACAACATTTTAACATGGCAATATGTCCGAGACTCCTCTCAGTATAGAGTCTATTTGTGTGAAATTTTAGCTCTATAGATTGATTATTACCAGATGAAAATACAGCCAGACTCCATATTTATTGTTCAATTTATTTATTTCAGCTAACCAATTTGATTTCTAGTACATTTTCATTATAGTTAAACATGATTGGTAAGAAAATTGCCAACATGAAAATACGTAAAAAAAATTGTTAGACAAAAAGAAACAAAAGTTATTAAATAGAACTTTATTTAAATCTAAAAAGGAAGATAAAAAACATATATACATTATGAACATTTTTATTAATAAAACATATAAAAATACAACAGATGTAAAAACACTTAACGCCTTTGGCACAAATATAACACCTTAATAGGAATGCATGACTACATTAGTAGGTAACATACAGTGAAATGCGAACAGCACCATTAGCTCGCAATTAGTATACAAACCGAGCTTAAAATACCAAGTGTAAAACAAATCATGATCATCAACTTACTACATGAATTATTAAAGAAGGTCAATAGCCTTAAAAACAGTGTTCTATGTAAAAAACATATCACATAAATAGCGGAATATGAAAAAAATTAAAATCATAAAAATCAAGAGTAAAATAAGCTGATGTTTTGTTAACAGTTCTTGATTATTGAAATTTACCAGCAAAAATCAAAAATACTAAGTAACCATTTGTTGTAAAACATAACAAACAAACAAAATAAGAAAAACCTAGTTCTTAATAATAGAATCATCAAATAAATGTAGCCGAAAAGAATTTCAGACCATCAAACTTAAAATCTGGATTGTTCTGATAATAAACCACAGAAAACAGTAAACTTTTAGGAACAACTATCATAATAATCCTTAAATAATACTCAAAGAAACTACGTTCACTAAATAAAATTGTGATACTTTGCAAAAGTTAAGTCAATAATAAAATCGTTTACATATAAATACACTAACACTTAAGCACAAATACATGTAAGGCACACAATATTCAAACGACAACAATTAATTATTATCTTACAATACTTATGTCTATAAAAACTGAAAGGCAGATAGCCTTTGAGGTAAAAAGTAATAGATTGATAAATCAAAAGTAATTTTCCACATAACAGATTTGACTTTGATGTGTTGTAAAAATGGCCCCTATGGTATCAACAGTTCAGAACATTTCCATCTATCCTTAGTTCCTAATAAGTACATAATAAGTCTGTTTGGCATACACAACTAGCAATATGTCTAACTATACTTGAAAAACTAGTTTTGAATTGAAACAAAAGTAAAGTTGTTAAACATTCAACACTCAGTCTATATAAGTGGCAGTACACTATCAGTCTTAATATTTTAAGAAACATTGTGATTACAAAAACATCTATTTAGACGTCGCTGGACGGTCCTGACTCCTCGTCATCTCGACTGTAGGACTTAACTTTGGTAAGAAGCATTGCAAAACTCTGGATATTACTATAGTAATCTTCTCTAATTCCCAGCAACGGATCTTCAACAGATTGCATCTCTTCGTAATCTGTCGAACTCTTCCTCAGATCTTGAGCCTCTTGGGTGTGGTAGAAGGAGACGTTCTTAAATTCCTGATCGTGGTAGTACTCCAAAGAAGTAACGATCTGCATGAAGGTCATTCGCTGAGATGGTTTTCTTTTCCAACAACACAACATGATGTTTCTCAAAGTCTCTGGACATCTTCTCGGTGTTTCCAGCTTACGACCTGCAATCACTTCATTCAGTACTTGATCATTGCTAGACCCTTGGTAAGGTTGCTCAGCCAGTGTAACTATCTCCCACAGAACTACGCCGTAGCTCCATACATCTGATTGGCTGGTGAATATCCCATCTTGCAGACTCTCAGGAGGCATCCAACGTATCGGAAGCAGACCCATATTGATCTTTCTGTAGTAGTCGGTTTCGTAAATATCTCTCGTCATTCCAAAATCTCCCACTTTGACTACACAATCTTGGTTTACCATACAGTTTCTGGCTGCTAAATCTCGGTGGACGAACTTCTTAGCCTCCATATAAGCCATTCCATCGGCTATTTGAAGCGCCATGTTAATCATTACAGCGTTAGTGGGAGGATTGGTATCTCGTGTTGATCTCAGATACGTTTTCAGATCACCCAAACTCATCAGTTCCATTATAACTAGGGGTGGATGACCAATTGAGACGACTCCCAATAAATGGACGATATGATATGCTTTGGATACTGATTTCATTACAGAAGCTTCGCTTAGAAAAAGGAATGTTTCATATGATGAAGCGTCATCATTTACAGTTTTTACCGCGCAAGATAAATTACTGGGTATGAGTATACCTTTGTAAACCTTACCAAATGCTCCGACTCCTAACTCGTCCACAATTTCTATATCGTCTCTCGATACTTCCCACTCGTCTTGAATGTATTGGTAATCCGGGTTAACCGAAGCTACCAGTATGTCATCAAGCATCGTTTTCTTCCTCATATATGACATAAGAGCGATGGATACTAGAATCATTATGATACAGAGAACAAAAAATCCAATGACCATTTTTATAGCTGAAAAAAGTCTGCTTGAAATCTCTACACGTATATATTTTGAATAGGGTCCTTTGCCAGCTAAAGAAATTGCTCGAACCCTAACTTTGTAAGTGCCTTCAGCTAAACCTACGATAGAATATCGTCTCCTGTTATTCTCATACTCAGAAAGGGTGATACATGATACAATTGGATTCATGTTATCCATAACTGTATGTCCATGTTCAACTTCAAAAGCTACAATCAGCCCGTTTGGATGAGGAGGGGCTATCCAAGATACAAATACAGTTCCATTTACAACTTCATGAGTCAAATGACCTGTAATCCTGTCTGCTTCTTCATCCTTTTTAGTTCTTACAGTAACTACATCAGTCTTGCTACATCGTAGACTATCTGGCTCGTTGGGATATTGTGAATACCTGCAAGCTTTTATCTTAATGAGATAATCTTGAAAATGTAAAAGATTGGTTATTGTAAAGTTAGAGGAAGTTGCCTTGACATCAGCTGTATACACATTGTAGGTACCGTAATTAAGAGATAATTTGTTATCAGCAGAAAGGTTTCTTTCTTGTCTCTTCAGAGAGGTTATATTCGTTTCACTAGAAACATATACAAAAGGATCCTCATATATGTAAGAATAAAAACAAGATTCAAAATATTCTTGAAATGCTAATGGGTCTTTATCAAAATATGTCATTGGTAATTTGCAGTAATCATGGTTTGAGCAATGTTTTTCAAGGCCTTCTTTGGGTGTGTAAATCAGTTTTTTAGTTTTTGTAGAACAACAGCTATTGTTTTGCCTGTTTTCAGCTTCAAGTAAACGTGGTTTGTATGATTCTACCTCATTCCTGTGATCCAATGGGTTATCACAATAATTACGGAGTCGAATCGGTGTTTCATCGTAGTTCATGGGCGATAATGTTATTACATATTTCTCAAACTTACCATTGATATATTTTGGAGGCTCCCATTGCAAGAAGATTTCAGAGCTTTTGTTGGAGAATGCTTCTAGTCGAGCGATTTCTGAAGGTGTTGATGGAAGAGTTGTTTCATAAGAAATAGAACTTTTGGCCCCGAAACGATCAATTGTATATGTTGTGACATAGAATGCATATTGAGTGTACGGCTCAAGGTCGTTCAGTTCAACAATGAATCCGTTTTCTTCAAAACTCTTGTCATACGGATCCACAGCAATATCTTTAGTTTTCCAACCGTAATCAGAACATTGGTCTAGATCATCGAACATTGTCATATTTTTGAATGGCGCTTTGGTGTAGTACACTACATAGCGCAAAATAGTTGTATCATAATTGATTTGAAGATAGGGAACCCGTATCTGTATTGAACTATGCGACCGATCAACAACCTTGATATTAATTTCAGTAGCATTACATGGAAATTTATCACCATTTGAATCTTTCCCTACCTCTAAATTAGTGACGTTTTCGTCATGATGTATAACTGAAAGCAGCTTATGTATATGCTGCAAACATAGTTTGGGGTTATAGTGGAAAAATACTTTTCCTTTGGAAATGTTAAAAGTATGTTTAGTGTCCCAATCCCAAAGTTCTTGGAGGTTATGATTTTCGAGTACCAAAAGTGAATAGTTGTCACCAAAACCGGCATCGCTGGATCTACCATGAATCACAGTAAGGTTTTTCAAGAATTTAAGATTAATGATTGGGAAAGATCTTACAACTTTTAAGTAGTTTTCTATCTCTTCGATGGATCCCAGGTTCTCTTCTAACTCTTCAAACACTCTCTTGGGTTTGCCAGTTCTGATGCTGATCTCCAGAGATCCCTGGATGTGAGTGCAGCCTCGTAGCATCTCGGCGTCTCCGATGTTCTCGATGGACAATCCGTGGCACCACTTGTGGCACTTGCCCCCCTTGCACGGCACACAGGTAGTGCCAGCAGCATCAAACTCATAGCCAGGTGGACAGTTGTCTGTGCAGGTGCCGTTGAACACAAAATACTTGGTGACTTGGGAAGAAGACTTTCTCAGTGTGTCAGTCCCTGGTGGTCCTTTGGGCAAGTCTATAGAAGTGCATTCCACTGCCTTGATGCATCTCCGGTTTAGGTACTGATACCTGAAAAACACGGATTATGAAAACATATTTTAATGGTAATACATAATGAAATACACAAAAATTAATTTTTGACTTATCTACATAACTAATACTCTAACACAAAATTTGTCTTTTGAACTCCTCCATTTCTTAACCGATTTGGACCATTGAGGTCAAGAAATTGGAAAGAGCGTGTCGGATAGATTTGCAAACTGACCTTACGTTTTTGAAAAAGTCCCTTGGGCTCTGCCCCAGTAGCTTTTAAAGTCCCCATGTTATCCTTATGAAGAACATAATTGTTTACATTTTGATCAGCTGGTAATTTAATTGCTGTTAAATTAAGTTGCAATTGAAATTAAAGGAAACACATGCTACAACAAACAATACATTTTTCATCACTCCGTAACGAAAGTAACTATTTTTGATAACAGCTGGCAATCGTAGTAGTTTCTCAAGCTCTGATGTAGGGCGAGGGAAAATCAATTAGCTGATTTTCCCTCGCTCTAAATTTACTTTCCTTGCTCTCGATTAGTTCTCCATTTACTCACTACGTATATATTCAATTCAGCATATATTCGATGCTAATTCGTAATGATTGTCATCCAAAAGTCTTTGGAAAATTAAGAGAAATCATATGATTTGGTAAAAGAAATCACGTTTTGCTCGCACGTGACGTCACTATGCACACCACCTTCTTTCATACCCCCTGTCATAGAACCATCTTTTTAGTTAAAACAGCTGACTAAATTCTCCAATTCCCTTTAAATATGAATACTCATAAGGTTAACATGGGGAACTACAGAGCCACTGGGGCGGTGGAAGGATTTTTGAGATAAGATTATGCCCATATGTTAATCTGTAATGTGAGCTATCATCATGCCAAATTTCAGCCCAATTTGTCTAGTAGTTAATGCGTGATTGATTAACACACACACAAACTCACAAACTTTCAGATTTATAATATTAGTAAGATTATCTTATTTAAAAAAAAAATACTTTATAATGGTATCTGCCAAACATGAGCTACAGTAATAAAATAACACCCAACGCATAACTATAAAAAAAATGCAGATTAACTCCTTTAGTTATAGATGTTCACCTGAAATGTGGACATCCTCTTTAAATTATGAGTAGCCTATGTTGTGTCAAAAATCATCATAGAGCGCGCCGACTGAAAATACGTGAGCTTGACTTACTTTATTGAAATTATTTCATTCTTTTTAGAGCGTTTTAAGTCGGTTGTATTTATTTTAATAAAAATTAACTATATGAAATGTATTTTGTGCACACAGTTATAGATTGTAAGATGAGAGAGATTCAAATACAATAAAACTACAGCTCTAGACTCTTTGAATGGAAAAAGCTTTTAAACTTCTGCCATTGGTTGACAAAAAGAATAGGTTTTGTTTTTTCAGGCATTTGAAAACCTCATTTAAGATCTGTACTTATCAACTTCAAGTTGAAACCTGGCTTGCAGACTATTAATTACCATTTTTGCACACTTTGTAACTTACAAGAAAGAGAATATGCTTTTCACTTTATATCTCTATGTCCCATTTTAAACACGAAAAGGAAGTTTTATTTTGGCTGTTAGATTTTGACACAGGATCAATAGAGGTTTTGAATGGTAGACATTAGTGGGCGCTAAGTAATTATTTAAAAGAGGCTTCGTCAAAAAGAAGGGAGTTTATTCAAGAATTATTTTTTTATCGTTTTCCAGATTTTATTAGTAAACAAATTTAAAGTATTTATAAAGAATTGCTTAATAAAGTCTTAATTTTTAAAATTTTTATTTTTGATAACAATTTTTATATTGTATGTAAAAATCAAAATGTATTGCTTTGTTTTCTTAATCGGTTTTGCCAGTACAGTTTACTTTGTGTAGTTTTATTATTACTGATTGATATTTATTTTAAGTGCTGACCAGGTCCACCAGTCACAAGAGACGGTCTTAATGATCATTGTTGTATGTGGTGCTAAGAATGTCAATTGTACAGGCTTATTTTGTAAAATAAAAGCATTTTTTCATTATGTTGACACTACCAATCAGTGTCACAAACGCACAGGTCTCATGAAATTCAACTAAATGCATGGGTAGGACTCAGCTAATCTCTTCATAGCTAAGTATCAGATGATTCCTACCTTACTGAATACTGTTCGGCAATAGCGAGTACTCTGCTGGGATTTTTATTTGTACTTACGTTCCATGAGGACAGTTCTCTACACATTCCCCATCATGAGTGAGAACCCTTCTACAGGAGTGACAGCCTCTAGGTCCAGGAGCAGAACATCCACCCACACACAGGTGATAACAGTGGGGTGACTCTGGCTGGATCTGACATAACATCAATGGTTAGTTCGTTAACATTAGATTTTTATTGCCGTAATACTCCAAATGGTACTCCCTAATAAAATAGAAACAGTAATAAGTTTACAGATGGAGCGATCAGGTCTAGTGCTAGAACGGTGGACTAGGTCCTTGAGGTAACGGATTAAAATCCTGCCAATCACTAATGAATTTTATTTTAAAGCCACTACCTCTAGGCTTAGAAGTGATGGAAAAAGACGATTCTGAGCAATAGCCTATCGTCCTATATTGAGAAGTTGGGACTTAAGTTTGTTGGATGTTGACTAACCTGGCACTCGGTTCGGCTCCAGCACAGCCCGTGGGGACATTCAGCCTGGCAGCCTGGACAATCACTGGGGTCTTTGTTCTTGGCCACATAGTTCTTGATAGGGTCCCACTTGGCTATCAGCTCCCAGTTGATGGTGTTCACGTAACAAAGACCTGAAAAATAAATATTGTGTCAAACACAGATTAAAAACTTGCTGACCATATTATGTAGGCGCTTGGCAACGAGATGGAAAGACCCAGACAGATTTTGTGGATAACAAAATAGCTATGTAGCAAATATTTCACTTAAAAATTACTCCTGAAGTGTAAGTATGGCCAATGGCCTATATGTCTTAACTAGGTGACAAAGCATATCCATGCAAGAAATAAGAATGCAAATGCGTTAAACTATAGAATTTGTAGAATTTGAATATACATTTCCCTCTAGCTTTTCTTGTGAAATTTTAAACTTTAATTAAATTTCTTAAAAAATAAAGCCCCTTTACAGGCAGAAAACCCAAGCAATCAGGTGTTAGCAACAGTTGCTAAGAGGGTGGTTTAAAGAGAATATAGTATGAGTTTTGAAATGAATTTGTACTCATAGCTAACTAAGGTAAAAGTTTTCCAACACCAGAATTGCAACTAGGTTTTTGTTTACAGTATTAATATGTGACAACTGAAAAATCTTACTTCAGTAGTAAGAAAATCTAATAAAAAACTAATTTAATACGACTGAAGGCCTTCAAAAACCATCAAAACCCCATTTTAAAAAATAACATTTAACAATAAAACTGAAAATCACATCACAACCAAGCTGTTTTCTTTCATCTTCAACCATGAGGTAGAATTATCATTGGCTGTTGTGGCCATTTTAGTTTAAACGGGAAACAGTAATTTGTATGGTTAGAAAGTAAATTTATTCTTTAGAGATTGCTGCATTTTCAAAGATTATGAGGTTGAAGTATAAGCAGGCACTATTATACAGTTGGTGTCTGTATTTGTGAATTATACTTGCTAACAATCTCAGCTGCCTGGATATACATGACTTAGAATAGATCTCTGAAGGTCACAGGATGGATTTGTGTGAGGGAGGGAGGTGATAGAGAAGTAAGAGGTAGAGGCATTGTGGGCTGACATTGCTGGCTTGAGACCCACAAAATATAATACATGACGAGGCAATGAGAACATCCCAATTTATTTAAACATTTAAACTGTTATTTAAACTGGACTATTAGTGCGGTGCAATTAGACCTAAACTGAGAAATCAAAAAAAAAGTTTCAAACTAGCTCAAATTGTTGAATACGCTTCCCTCACTTTGTAAAAAAAAGTTACACTGATTTGAGTGTCGGGTTTGGGGGGGAGGGGGTGAAAATATGACTTTTTTACTTTTTCGTAAATACCTCAAAAATGGTGCGTTTTTCTCAAAATATAATAAATTAAAAACTACATTAAATTTAGAAAAAATAATACCATATAATATCTATGTACTATGAACGGTTCAGGAGATATGGGGGGGGGTTAAGTGTGATTTTTTCTTAAAATTAAAAAAAAATAGTTTTCTATATGGAGGAAAAACCATGGACACCCATAAAAAAAGTTTCTAATAAGTGCCAAATTGTTCAATAGACCTCCCTTAATATGTGTAAAAAGTTACATTGATTTGAGTGTCGGATTTGGGAAGGATGGTTTAAAAAAAAGGAGGGAATGAGATTTTTTAAATATTTTACAAATATTTTGAAAACGGTACGTTTTTATTGACGTATAATAAACTACAAAAGTAATTTACATTAAATTTTAAACAAGATGATACCATACTATACCTATCTACTATGACCGCAAACCTGCTGACTAAGCAAATTTCTATTTGTCTGAATTGATTTTCAATTAAAATATATTTTAATCACATTAGGTTTAATGAGTACCTTGGTTTGCTACTACAAGGAAACTTATAAAGTGTGTTTTTAGTAAAACATTAATAGCTTAGTATAAAATAAATAAATTTGCCAAGTTTGATCCAAATATATCAAACAAGCAAACTACAACATTTTACAATATTCACCATAAGAATAACATAATAATTTTAAATTTACAATTTTTTGTAAATTATTTGTTGTTTTTTTTTTAGCTCTTTAAAAAGGTCTTGAGAGAAATTGGGAAATGTTGTGTTTTGAGGGTTATAGTAGTATGTTTTCTGTGGTTTTAAGGGATAAGATTCTGTTGTGTTTTCAACACCATTGGCCTTTAATCTTTTCTGTAAAGGAACAATCAACCCCTGTTCTTGTACCTAATTTTGTATTTGGCAAAGTCCCTTATGTAGGCTTCAAATCACACACACACTGCACTAACAACCCAAAATAATACACTAAATGTTGCCAGATTTTTTTAGTTTTTCTTGCCTCTATTTTAGATTTTGCAGGCCCTTAACTAATGGATATTAACAATCAATGATAATCAAATTTGGGTAATTTGACAGATACAAATCTTTAACTCTATCTCAACAAAGATCAGCATAAGAATGTATTTTTTATCAACACATACTGAACAGTTATTAATATGTTGATAACAAAGCTGTATAGTTTTTCATGTAATATCTCTTAATTCTGTTTTTAATGATTTTATTTATATACAAAAATTAGTAATGATATTAAGTTTTGTTCCCAATCTTAAAAGTGTGCTCACATCCATTGCACATTTAGACATAAAACTACAAGAAAATTTGTAAATTAAAAAACATTTATGAACAAAAATTGATGATAAATAAAAACAATCCAAAGTATTAAGATATATTAATAGTAGTGAAAAATATATACTGTACAGGGTGTCCAAAGAGAGGTGTCTCAAATTGATTACGGAAAAACGGCTAAACCTACAAGGATGAAATAAAAATTTTTCGTACTAAATTGACTCCAAGGAATAATGTAAAAATATTTTAAACTTTTTTCAAATACAGGGTGTGCCAAAAACTGAGGGTCACTAGTTCGAATCTTGGAATTTTCAAATGTAAACATGTGTCATGTTATACACCATTTTAAAGGTATTTAATAGGCAGACATTTTGGCAAAAACAGAAATTAATTATCTTTTTCCGTTTCAAAATGGCGGCAGTTTTTTTTTAAATCTATTTTTTTAATACTCTGTGTTCCCTATACCAATGTATTTAGTCCTTCTCCGGTTGAATTTTCTTACTCGTTATGAAATTAGCTTTACTGTGATATGCGACAAGTAACGGTTTTTTTAAATATATTTTTGAAAATTTTCAAATGCTTATTGTTCAACATTTTCAAATAGCAACATATATAAAGTGGCACATCATTTTATAGTTTTTTAATTCCTAACGAACTTTGTAATTTACGAAGGCTATACTTCGGTATAGGCACTTTAGTTTTTAAAAAAGATAAGCATAAAAAAGCCTAATTTTCCTGATATGCAAATGCATGTTATTTGGTTTGAGTGGTTTAAAACTAAATGAAATGGGCCATTGTATGAAAATCCCAAGATAACGATGCATTGTGACCCTCAGTTTTTGGCACACACTGTATTTGAAAAAAGTTTAAAAATATTTTTACATTATTCCTTGGAGTCAATTTAGTACGGAAAATATTTAATTTCATCCTTGCTAGGTTTAGCCGTTTTTCCGTAATCAATTTGAGAAACCTCTCGTGAGAAACCCTGTATATTTAAATAAACTATTAAACTTTAGTTCATAATTTAATAACAAGGTAAATTTGAGATATATAAAATGTTAACATTTTATATTAAATGTCATTATTGGCCTAAATTTAAGGTGATACAAACTTATCCTAGTTAACAATGCTTAGTCGAGAGTAAACTACAATCGGACCGGTAAACAGCCTAAAAACAACTCATTGTTTCCGTTTCCTTCTGGTTTGTTACTTCCGACTTCTACAGCACTCGTTGGACCGGACTAATAAGCATCTAGCTGGTGAATCCTGGTCAAAACAAGGTAGGACAACCTATTTGGAAGGAACGATTGTCTGACCGTTCTAAATCTCGAGGAAGATTGATTTAGTCTTAAAAGTTATATGTTTCGTACAATTATGATCATGGAATAAAGAGTGTATCACTATTCTGAGCTTTTGTTAAGCAATTTGATATAAGGTTTAGAAGCATAGATGTCCAATCATTACTCATAGGTATTTAACAAATTTTGAAAGTATTACAAATATAACCACACACAACGATTTATTTGTTGGTTGTCTTTTGATTTCAGTGCCAAAAACAATTTTGCCACAAGCGTTCTAAAAGCCCGCGGAACCCCTTATTTAAATCGGATACGTATTCGCCCGACAGCTTTTCAAAACAATCTTTTTACGATTGATTAAAAAACAATCTAATAATAGATTGTTGCACTCGATCAGTACCGGGCATGAAACGCACTTAAAATAAGCTTGAAGTTACAACATTACAGCTCCGGTGCAAACCCATGACAAATCAATGACAGTAATTTTCTTTGACTGTAAGAATACAACCCTCAGGTAAAATAATGCACATACTGTCTAAGCTAAGATTATTTGCCGTGCAATTTTGCTAGTAGAGAATGTGCAATCCACTTTTATAGACAATTTTATGAGATCTTTGGCAGTCGTTACCAAAAATACTATCGTACCACTGAGCGAAGTAGGTTTTAATATAGAGTACACTAAAAACAATCAAATTAAATGTCTTACTCTTTGGCAAACGTTATCGTTTGTAACGAAAGGCTAAATGAGCGTCGACAGTTGCATACAAATATTTACCACGAGAGGTCAATGACAGCTGTGCAAATGTTTACAATACTGTGCACTGTGCAGTTAGTGCAGAAGTCTATCTTCTCTGTCTGGTCTATTTATAGAACTCCCTTTCCCACGACATAGTTGTGCGGACCGATACAGCACCTGTTATTACAGAGATTAAGTAATATAAAATTGTGTTAGTTTATTCTATGCTTGTAGGGTGTTAAGTTACAAAAAATATTTACTATGACATCGAGGCTGCTTTAAGCGTCAAATTTAATGTCTTGAATGCTTTCTCGTATTAAATCTGAAGGAAACTACTGTCTCATTATGAAATCTTGTTTGTCGTTTCGTCATTTTGTCAATCCTATTCAAACAATCAGCTGTTTTTACATTGTTAATAATTTGTTGTAAACTACAAATGTATCTAATGAAGTTTGA